CCTTTTTTTTTTTTTTTTTTTTTTTTTTTTTTTTTTTTTTTTTTTAATTTGTGTTTGCTGCATGGCTGGCCACATCCACCTTTGTCATATCTACAACAGTGATTTCCTTCCTACTATGACTGAAGGAAGTCTCTTTTGGATTCAGAGCAATGCAACACACACTGACAAGTGCATTAGGAATATGTTCTAAGAGAAGGGGAAAAAAGGAGATCTGAGGTAGATACAGACACCAACTGCTCACTTTTTTGCTCAACAATGGTAGAATTGGGTTAAAATCATAAATTGTATTCTACTGAACAGACAGACAGACAATGTAAAGGTGTATGAGGATGGACAGCCAGATGGTACAGGGAACTGAAGTTTTAAACAAGTACAGTAAAATTGGGTCAAACCCTACTGAGGCAAACTTCTGAACGGGAGCTTTGCCTGAATAAAAATGACAGGTCTGGCTCACTCAAGTCAGCAAAAGCTCAACTTACCCAGAGAAAACAAGGACCACATCTTCTAACACAGAGCAGAACACAAGATTTTTACTGCCATTAACTCCATTGAATTGACAACATTGATATTGTGGGGAAAAAGCAACATAACATACTTCTGGTAAAATTTTTTTTGAGAAGTTAGCTCTGTTCATCGGCCAACTCTACTGTGAGTTCCAGTTTCAGAGCCGGACATAAACAAGAAGCTTCCAGCAGAGTGCATTAATGACTCAGCACATCATTTTTGTCCATACTTCCCTTACAAACCTATACTTTCAGGATTTATACAGGCCATCTGCTCTGAAAAATGAAGAGTTGAATCAAAATCTTGTCATGGAAAGGTCTCTTTTGACTAACATTAAAGGAAACTATTTGATTGGTTTTAAAACCCATGGCATTGTGTAAACTATCAAAATGTCTCCCAAACACTGACCTTTCAGTCCTTGCAACCACCCCTGCGGGGCAGGTAAGTAAGTGCTATTGCATTAACTCAGTTCTACATGCAAGGAAAGAGAAAAACAACGATGCTAAGTGACTTGCTGAGTCATATGCACAGCTGGGAACAGCACAGTCTGCTAGATCATAACAACCTCAAATTGTACAGTGTTTGCCACCTTCTTGTGTTCATACAACTAGCAAAACTGTTTCCATTTGCTTAGGGGGCAATCTACAACCTCCTGTCAATTAATCCATGTAAGTACTTTATAAAATCCTAAAATACATGTAAATAATACTGCTGATAGAAACAGTACACAAAGCTAATCCTCAACTAAGGATGTGTGATGTAACAACCTTGACATTGGCCTGAAGCAGAACAAGGCCTTTATAGTGATATGAAAAAATCAAAAAGCATACACTGAACTAATGAAGTGAACTACATGTTAAAAAATAGTGGTAAAACCCTGGTAACAATTCTAAAAGCTTTTGCTAATGCCCTACTAGCTTCCTTTTCAGTTAGTAGCTTTGATTGCCATTACCTCTGGGCAATAAGTCTAGTACTATTTTTTTAAACAAACAACGTGCAGGTGTTTTTTAAACAAAACTACCATCAATTATTCAATTCTTTTTATACTGGTTATGAACCGCAGCCAGAAGGTATTTCCAGCACAGTGGACTGACAAATGTTGTTGTTAACACAGCCTGTAATTGTATTATCTCAAAAACAACTGCAGGATGGAACATGTCTAATTACGGTGTCCTGATAAACTACTGAGAAGTGTCCTGATAAACTACTGAGAGTCAAGAACCGTCCATGTGTAAAATTAACAGAGGCTCTGTGTTAAAATACCAACAAAGTTTGTTCAGCAGATGGTAAGAAATTATTTTGATGCACTTATTTAACAAAAAGAAAGAAAAAAATGCTAAAAGAAAATCCAAGAAGGAAATAAATGCCACATAAAAATGCTATTGACATGGCAGAGTTCAACTTACAGTCCCCTGGAGATTCTGAACCCAAATCCTTCCCTCATATCCGCATGGTATGGCTCAGTTTAACATACTGCTGTCTCCCTATACTGATGGCCTTGATGCAGCAGTCTCCTGTTGAAGCACTGACGCCCATGCCTACCATTGTGACAACTTCACTGGGATTTACGCCTCTGCTTAAAATTAAGTCAACGCTTAAGTTCTTTGCTGGAGGGGGTTTTAGCAGGAGGAAAATGTAGTGATCATGAGCTACTGAAATTGAACATTCATTGTGCAGAACAAAGTAGAAGTTTCCTTTGTGAGACTAGAATTTGACTCCTGCACTCTGTGTACAGAACCCCCAATACATGTAGGCATTAAAGCATGAATTACAGGTCAAAGACTAAAGAAATTATCCAACTCTGAATCTCCTTGCTTGCATGCATTTAAGATTCCAAAACCAAAACTAATGGCAGTTCAAAAAAGCAGCCAAACAAATCCAAAGAAAATAAAGATGACCCATAATGAATCATAGTTTTGGTGACCCCATTGTGACAGCAGACATCTTGGCTCATATTGCACATAACAGATAAAAAGGTGAGCATCACCATCTTTTTTTCCTTTAATATGGATGTACTTAACATATCCTGTCAGTTACCTCTGTGCATATATGTCTACCTCATCCATGCATTGCAGTTGGTTTGCAGATGGGGAGTTATTGCTGGGGAATGCCTTATCTTTTCACATGAAGCTGCAGAAAGTATCTCCGTTTTCTGATTCCCCCATCCTTTAGACTCATGCCTCAGCCCTCTGATGACAGCTGCGCACTGCAACGTCCAGGAGACCCTTACCTTCCTCCAAAGCTCCAGTCTGCTCGGAAGCTGGCGACGGAGGCGGGGAAGGAGGCAGGTTGGCTGACTCTTCGACTGCTAGAAATCAAACAGTGAAAACGAGATACAGCAATTAATTCCTGGGAGACCGATGCTTGATACAAGCTGCAGTCAGCCTGTTCTGCCCAGCTGAGAGAACTACTTGATGGCAATTTGTGCGTAGTGGGTTTTCAGATAGAACCTTTCAGAATGCATGGATTTTTAAAGTTATAATAGAAGGATTTTTTTTTTCAGATGGTATGAATTATTTTCAAAATTGCAGTCATAAAGTACAGTACAAAAATCAAGTACAAAATTATCTTTTAAACCAGTACTGCCACTTAGAAAACCTTCAGTCAACCAAGGCAACAACAATAAAGCATCTGAGCATGAGAGATTTTATAACTTCATGCTGACTATCGGAAACTGGCATCCAATCTCTTCAATTTACCTTGAGTACATGAACAAAAAATATTCTGCATGCTCTTTTCTTTTTTTTCCTTCTGCTGAGTTCAAGGTTAATCACAGAATACATGCAGATACTGCTTGTCTAAATACACAAGACATTAGCATAGGGAACTTATGTCAGCCATGACATAATAGGGATTCAGCTAAGCAAGGCACAGTGAAATCTTAGATGTTCTTAGACTAGGTTTCTAGATTCATTCCCAGCCATGAGACTAGATGCTGAAACCAGATGACGTTTTTTCAATTATTTCAACTCAAGTACGATGAAATCCTAAACAAACTGCTTCCTAAATGAACTCAGAATAACCTCTGCATCTGATTTCAGGCCAGTCACTCTGAGACTTTTTTTCTTTAAAATCAGATCCACTACTGGGGCTCAACCAATGTTTAAAAAAAATTTAAAAAAAAGTACTAACAAATCTGTTTTAACAGATCTGTCTTACAAACAGCACCTCTCAACAGGCAGATCTCTGTTTATGATTCAGGGCTTCTTCCTAAGCACAGAAAGGCCAGTTTCAAAGCCCCAGCAGAATTTTCCAGGCCTCCTCCTATTGATTTCCATGTGGTTTGGAAGAGACCCTTATGTGACTTGATCTTAAGATGTGCTGTCCAGGGACAGAGTATTTATTATATCATCACCACAATGCAATTCCACCCCGTGCTTATTTAACAGTCACTGACCACAGGAACTGCGATACCAACAGTTACTAACTGAAGACATACTTGTCAAAATATTTTTAAAATGTCTTATCTAACTAGATGGAACTGAATAGCCATTTTGCCATTTTGCCTTACCCAGGCCCCAGAGTGAAGCAATCTGTGCTTAAATATGTATGAAGTGTTTTGCAGAATTGAGGTCTTCCATGTAAAATTGTGTCTCTGTAAAGAAGGGAATTACCAAGCAACACATCTCCCTGCTGCAGTTCAAAGTTAGTTCAATGAAGCAAAGGACCTTGGGAACCAAATTTCCAACAAAAATTCTAAATTACTGATTGACTTTAATTCATTCCTAAGCAGGGTCCAGCCACTGTACCAAATAAAGCAAAGTGCCTGTGGGGAAAATAGCGCAAGGCATTATTTTGATTTGATCACAACGTATGTGCACTCAGCAGAACTTATCCTGGGGCAGGCTTGCAAGACTTGTCCTACCTCAGGATGGAGTGTGGCCTTCCTCTGGCCTTTGCAGTATGTGTTTTGAGCTACTGTGCAAGTTTTCTGGCAGGGAGGAATCACTATAGGTACGAATGGCTGTGTACTTGCTTTTTTTTATATATATATATACACACACACACACTTGTATTTCAGAGAGACATTTCACAAAGGAGCCAGCAGGAGGACAGAGGCACAGCATGGATCAGTGGCAGTGGTACCATTCCCCATCTGGACCACTGGCATTTGCTTCTACCATGTGTAACTCCCTCTCCCACCACCTCCCTACACCCTGCCTGGCTGCTAACCCCTCTCCCACCCTCACCGGGTGTGCCCCATTCCTCTCTGCTTTCTGTTGCGGGGTTCCCCCTCCATATTTTTGAGTAGTTACCACCCCACCGGCAAGCCTCACTTTCTTTTTGTATGCCTCTCCACTAATCTTTGGCTCTTCAGACATTAATCTTTCTATCTCACGTCGTACATGGCTGAAGACAAAGAGGCTCTGAGCGCTGCTGGGTACCACCAAACATGATGACAAAACCACTACCACCAGTTACATTCACAACTGCGCTGCTTAGGAGTCAGAAACCAGGTGGAGAACTGCTTTTAGAGCAAACAGTGAATGAGACAGTCATGGGGCCGTGAAGAACTGAGGCAAGGAGGATACTGCTATTAATCCATGGTTCCAGCATTTATCCAGTGGTGCTGGAGTTTACCCGTGACCATAACCTCTGTGAATACACAGCTGTAACTGTTGTTTCTAATATACATACACATAACATTTGCAGACATGAGGATACTTTGAACATTCGTTGTCTCGCTTTACCTAAAGGTAGTGGTCCAGGCTGATCTTTGTGCTGTGCTTCTTTTTCCTGCTCGCCTTTCAGGACTGCTACAGCTTCAGCTGTTACTACTTGTACTATCCTTGCAGACACTTCTTCTGTGGCAGCAGCAAAGTTAGAAAAAAACAAAGAAAAGCATGCTATGAGAACTATGTATTAAAATCATAAAGATTAGCTTAAACAATAAAAAATGGAGGCTGACTTAATCCATTTTTAAAAGGTAATCTTTTTTCCTGAAATATAAGCAAGTCACTAAAAATAAAATAGAAGGACCAGATATTCCAAAGATCTCAGTGGAAAATGCTGAGTATTTATAAAAAACAGGACCTCAGCCTTTACAGTAAGATGCACAAAGCATCATTATGAAATGTTCTTTCTGTTAGGGGACATGTGCAGCAACTGCAAAATTTTAAGATGATCATTTATTAAATGTCTAGAAATTTTTTTGCAGGTCCTGTTTTGCAAACAGGGTTAGAATGGCCAGCTGAGTAATGGGATTTCTTGACATTTAATATATGGAGTTAGCTGCATTCTTACATGCACTTTGGACGATATTTGTTCCTCATCAGCACACAGTTAGTATGCATTAAAGGCACTTCCCAGACAGACATCTATGCTGATGAAGGACTTGAAAAAGAAGGGCCAAATAACATTTCTGTATGATTAAAATATAAACTTTGTCCTCCTCACCCCTTTTAAGACTGCAACACAAAGTTTTATCGGAACAGTAGGTCTGAATATCATGCAGAGGGATTTGTAGAGGATAACATTTGTTTGGTGGGATGGGCTCTCGGGTCCTGGCCTCAGACGCAGGTGTGTCTCTTGGCCGCTCGCTCTCGCTGTGCTCGGCACAGGGTGGGGGAACTCGCATGGAGCTGGCTGAGGCATTGCATGCTTGACAGACCTGGGTGCCACAGGAGCCGTGCTTTGCTCCTCCCCACTGCCCTCGATGTGTGCCATGCCTGAGAGGGGCTGAGGATCCGGGTGCTCTCGTGAGCAGAGGGTGGCAGTGGGACCACTCAGGGAATAAATACTTCCAAACTGAGAAATGGTATCTCATCTCAGCCCTGGACCCACTCAAAGGCAGTTCAGGCACCTTTGGTCTAGCAAACCAAGGGCTTAAGGGTTGGGCCCAGCAGAACCATCTACAACATAATTCAGTTTTCTTATCTGTGTATTAGCCCACTCTCCCTTACTCATTAATCGACATATGCCTCCCTCTCATAGCCAAACTCAGTAGAAATAAACCCCTTCACTCTCCAGCTATTTCTGAGTGCTGGCTGAGAGTTGTTTCAAGCTCAGGGTTCTGGGACCCGACACGGAGCTGAGCCCTAGGGAAGGCAACAAGCTGCACAGCTGCGGACCCACCAGCTGCACAGCTGGCCACACGCCCAAAAACAGAGCAAGAATTGCAGTGCTGCTCCACCCCTCGTGTGGGGACAGAGGTTTCTAATGGCAGATGGCAATACACCCTGCTCCTGCCAGGAGATGCTCGCAGAGCCCCCATTAATCACCATCCCGAGGGCAGAACGAAAAGCTCTCTGCTCACCCATTACTGCGTCCTTCAGGCAAGGACTGGCTGGGAGGGGGAAGTATATTTAAATCAATGCCCTACACGTAACTTTACAGCAACACCCTAACAAGGGATGCTGTCTGTTAGATTAATAATGATTTCTTCTCACAGTCAGTACTCTTACAGAATTCCTTTTGTACTTTTAATGTAAAGTTATGCCTCTTCATTTGTCCTTTAGAAAAGCTGATTTTTTTTCTCCCAGAAAGCATAGATGTGAGTTACTTGACTTTCACAGTCATGTTTGTCTAAACCCAAAGTGCTACGTTAATCTCTCTTTTGTACAAACTATGTAATGAGATATTAAAAAAACCCACCCACTGGCAAAGAACATTCGTAATTGTTGGTATTTATATCTTACAATTCACTTCCCTCCTGACTGGTCGCCAGGAGGGCAGTGACTGCAATATTTTTGTTGGCCGCAGCCAATAGCAACAGTAGATGGATGAATATGTCAGAACAACTACCAAGCAATGAAAAAAATAAGCTGATTTAAAAAACTGTTAGCCCAAGAATACATGAGTATATACCTGCCAAGGATAAATTCAGACTAGAAATCTGAAGATGCTGCTTTCCTACTGTCAAGGGTGTGAAGTTCTGGCAGTCTTCCACATAGCAGGAAACAACTCAACTGGTTTTGAGATGGAGCTCAATACGTTTATGAAAGGGACTACATATGATATAGGTGCCTGTATTAGCAGGAGACTCTGAATGGCAGCTCTAGTTCTATGTCCCTCTATTCAACAACATGCCCCTAGTATGAGATGAAACTCTACTTTGTTGTTACATAGATCGAATCGAGCACCATAAACCCCATAAACCAAGTCATGCATGTGGCTAGTCCTATGGACCAAAGAACAGGGATATTGATTTAAAGCCCATCAATCTTCCCAGCTGCCTTTCAGGGTCCTGCACCTCATTTTGGGACTTTTCAAATTTCTCCTGCTTCCACGCCTGCTGGATGCTGGGGGTGCTTCTCGGCACCTCTTGGCTCATTCCTCTTGTAAGAAACACAGAATAGACCCTCCCAGACTGTCATGTGGTGCTGCTGCTGCAGAGCGGTGGACTGGACACAAACACTCCCTTGGAATCATTACAGGTTCTCACAATTCCCTGTGTCGTGAGGCACATGCAGACTGCAAAGCACAAGCGACATTGGAGGAAACTGGGAGAATGAACCTGTGGCTTGGCCCATTCTCTTCCTGCAGACATGTGGTGCCCTCTCCCATGCCACGCCACCGGTGTGCTGCAGCACCTTGCATGGGTGGGACACACATGTAGGAAACAAACCATTCTTCCATGAAGCGTCCTTTGATACTTGGTGTAT